AATAATGTACTCAGCTGCCTTCCTTCCTCCTCCCCCTCCCCTGAAATGTTTCATAATGATCATACACGTTTTTGGTGCTTAAAAGAAGTCCTTGTCAATTTACATAGGTATAATGTGTCTGCATATAGCCTCATAGTTCACACATTTGTCTGCTGGTCATATGACTTCCCTTTTGGCGAGAGAGGCAAAATAACAGAATTATAACTTATTTTGACATGGCTATATATTTATCTTTTACAGATAATATTAACGATTCAAAGGTAAAGTTAATAATTAACTCTTTGAGTACTAAGGAAACATAGCAGAAGCTTCCTGAGGAATTGGAGGCAATATATTTGATACTTATTTTTATACTTTACATCAAGTTTTAGTGTGAAATGTTTGATAAATTTGATTTAACAAAACTGTAAGAGAATATGTTCCTGATGTAAAAAACCCCAAAACAAATAAAAATAGCACATTTGTGCACAAGCATGTGAATATTCAGTGATAGCTTCACAAGGACTACTCGATTTCTAAGAACTGACTCTGATTAAACGCTTTGCTGAACCTAGGCCTATGACAGTAGCATGTAGTATGACTACAAATGTGTGACACTAACAGGCTGGGCATAACGTCGGGCTCATCCTAAAAGTATTCAGTGTCAAACTTTGATTATTTTTAATATATAGCTGTGATGAATTTTCTAATAAATTATTAGTTTGCAGAAAGGTATTTGGAAGATAAAAATATGTACAAAGGGGACACCACGCAAAAGACCCTGAATTTGTATAAAAAGAAAAAGAGTAATTCACTTAATTAATCAGATAAGAACTCTGTTAGATATTTTTAATGAAGATAGCGTAGATGGGAAGGTAAACAGGATGACTGGCATTATGTTATGTATAGTTCAGTGGTATACGTCACAGGTTTGATGTTATACATGAAATGTTTTGCTTATTGCATGAATAATAGGCTTAGTTTGTACAAACTGAAAAAAATGTTTCACATTGAAAGAGCATTGAAAAATAATGGGAAATGGGTATAATTACCAGCATACAAGGACCAGATTAAAACAACCAAATGTGAAAAAAATTGTTACTTTTGTTTTTTGAAATGACATCCATGAATAAGTTCAATTTCTGTTTTCATAAAAATCATTTAAATAAATCATATTGATTTTGTATTCTGTGTGGAGAGCTACTGCATGTATTGCAGCTATATTGACTTCCAGAATGACAGGGAAGATGGGATGATGGTGAGAAACAAAAAAATTGGGATAGGTGTATACAGACTAGGGTTGCCAACTTTCTAATGGCACAAAACCAAACACCCTTGCCTCGCTCCCTGCCCCGCCCCTTCCCCGAGGCCCTGCCCCACCCCTTCTCTGAGGCCCCGCCCCCGTTCACTCCATCCCCCCTCCCTCCATCATTCATTCTGCCCCAAACTTACTCACTTTCACAGGGCTGGGGCAGGGGCTTGGGGTGTGGGAAGGGGGTGAGGGATCCAGCTGGGGGTGTGGTCTCTGGGGTGGGGCCAGAGATGAAGGGTTTGGGGTGCGGTAGAGGGCTTCAGGGTGGGTCAGTGGGTTGGGGCGCAGGGGGGTGAGGGCTCCAATGGGAGCTGAGGGGCCAGCACTCAGGGTGGGGTCAGTGCACGGAGCCTCCCTGGCCGCCCATGCACCTAGGAGCCGCAAGGACCTGGTGGCTGCTTCCGGGAGCCCTGCGGAGGTAGGGCAGGCAGGGAGCCTGCCTTAGCCCTAGGTCCCCGCTGTGTCACCAACTGGACTTTTAACAGCCTGGTCAGTGGTGCCGACCGGAGCTGCCAGGATCCCTTTTCGACCAGGCGTTCCGGTTAAACACCGGACACCTGGCAACCCTCCTACAGACATAGCCACCATGGAATAACCTAGATAAGGATCAGGCTTGTGGTAATAATTTGATATTAATAAATATTTCATGCACAGCTGTAATCTTGATTACAGATTAGCATAGGGGGAGCTGGTTGCAATACCTTTATTTAGATTGCCTAACACTTTCCCTTTATTGTGATCTTTTCCTTAAGGAGGTCTCACACCTCCATTGTTTCCAGCAGACCTTTGATACTTGATAGGGGAAGTCCCCTCAATATAGAGAAGTGCCCTTCCTTTGTCCTGTGAAATTCCATTCAGATTTATTGAAGTGAGATAGTATTAAAAGTCACCATTTCCCCTCTCCCTTCCATTCCTCAGAAAGATTTTGACAGCCTGCCAAAATCACTGAAGTTTCCAATGACAGGCTCATGCTACCACCAAACAGCAGCAGATACTGCACTGAGAACACCTGTGAGCTGCCAGAGCAGCTGTAGCAGGAAGGGGGAGGAGAGAGTTGGGCTTCCCCTCTCAGCCCTTTCCCTGCTCTCCCAACCCGGCATTTGGGCCCCATGGGGGCCCGCATAGGGCAATAGTTCCCTCCTCTTTGGAGGGTGGAGGAGCAGCAAAAGAGAGCCAAGCTGAGCTGCTCCTGGAATGCCCCTGGACCTAGCATAAGGCACAAGCTTCCCATGTTCCTCCCTGGTGGCACCAGCTTCCCCAACTCCAGGAGTGGGGGAGAAGGAGCTGAGCTTGGTTCCTCTTGTAGCTCTCTCCAGTCCCAGCACATGGTACCAACAGCCACCCAGGGCATCACATGAAGCATGAACCCCCCCCCCCACCACACACACACACACCTGAGCTGGGCAGTACTCCCCATGCCCACCCTCCGGACTCACCCCACTCTGGGATAACAGCCTTCTGCTGCTTCCACCTAATGTAGTTATTCCTGTAGCTCAAGTGAAAGCAGTCTGAGCAGCAGTAGTAAAGGCTACGGGTACATACCAGGTAGGTGGTGCATAATTAGGAGTGGGGTGTTACAGACACATAATAGAATTGGTTATTACTTGTGTCCTTAAAACACCTAGGAAATTACATACAAAAACTATGTTAAAAGAATGTTATTTAGGTCTGCAAAGTCACGCACTCAAGGGTTTGGAAATGCTAGCTTTATGGTTGCCAGGGCAACCTTAATGTCTGCAGCTGGATGGGAGGAGGAGGTGAGGAAGAGTCAAGAGGTAGCTGGATCTGCTGAGTTCGGAGTACTTGTTCCTTGCTCACCGCACACCTCTACCAAGCTCCTCTCACTTAAGTAGATGCTTTTCAGAGAATTCCATAAGTAGAGCCCTGCGCGGATACAAAATTTGTATTTGCATCCAGTCTGCAAACATGGTCCGCAGATATCCACATCCTCAGATATAAAGTGGATATCCGAAGATTTGCAGGGCTCTAGATACAAAATTTGGATCCGCATCCATCCATGATCTGCAAATATGGTCTGCGGATATCCAGGTCTGCTGCGGATATGAAGAGGATATCTGCAGATTTGCAGGGCTCTATCTGTAAGATTAACTAGTCTTACCAAGTTATCTGTACCTCTGCCCCTTTTTCCACAATATTTTCCAATTCCCTGTTCTTCTCTTCTGTATTGAGTGAGAGATATGTACTTGATACATGAACTGGACCTTTCACTCAAATAATAATGTTAGAACTCATTTTGATTGGGACGCAGTAATACTGTGGAAAGTTTTGTCTCATGTTCCTTTCTGAAAGTTTCCTATTCTGCCATTCACTCTCTTTATAAAACGTCTATATATTGTAAACCCCAAGTGAACCTGCTGAAATTGAACAGTGGGAATGATGGGAATGGATTGTATTTTGGGTTTACACATGCACTGTCTTTTATGGTGTCATACTTTCCCAGATAATTACCATGAGAAAAGTGCAGTTGACTTCACTGTCTGAGTTATTTGTCATGTAATAAATTATTTGCTGACACCAGGACATCTTTTTGTTGAATATTATAGTCATATCCAAAAGCCTCGATTCTGCTAGGGGCTTCATGTGGGTGGACTCCAGCACCCACACAGACCCCACTGAAAGCAATTATTGAAGCAGAAGGATAATTTTAGTTTTTAAATTTCCTGCTTTACAGCAGGTGGGTTATATTAAATTGCACTGAACCACTTGGAGTATTTGTTTGAGATATTTTGAAGCTATGTCAAGAGAACCTAAAAAATATGGATAGACTCCCAGTTTTAGTAATTGCATACATCTGAATAAATGCACATTATTTAAAATATACACATTATTTTAATAATATGGAAATTAATTGAAGCTAAAATTACCCAGAAAATTAAAACCTAGTTACTCAATAGAACAAAACAAAAATAAACATAGCTATTCAGTTTGCATGGTAAATCACCCATGTGCCCTGAACCTGCAGAAGCCTACATATGTGTTTACCTCTATGCTCTGTCAATAGCCCCGTTGACTTTAATGGATCTACTCACAGTACATGAAGTTAAGCACATGCATACATCTCCAGAATCAGGGCATTAGACTAGTAGCCATGATTGTGGACATCCCTTTAAGAGCACAGTAGATTCTAGGACCCCACATATGGATGCAAGCCTTTACTATCAAGTCACCCAGATGTTAGGAGTTTCAACACTGTGTAAAGATGCAGAGGTGTTTTTGCTGATTCATGCTAACAGGTGGATCTTACTAATTCCAGCCAGGATTTAAGAGGGATTAGAGTCCCCTTTTAATGCAAACTAAGTTATGATAGTTTGCATGGAAAAGACTAGGAATAGCTAAGTTTGGGGAGAAAGTCTTGGCTGATTTATGTGTTGCTGTTAGAGTAATAATAAAGCCAAACTCCAGGAAGGGATTCCAGGGTGTGCCTCCTAAAATCAGAACTCTACTCGCTCACAATACTTTTTAAAGCATGTCTTGCAAATTATAGGAATATGGAGGGTAAAGCAATAACCTAATTGCTTAATCTCTTTGGTAATATGTTTATTTATTATGATTATTATTATTATTTTATTATTTTTGCTGTCCAGATATCTTATTTGTGTCATGGTCTTGTATAAAGAAAATTAATGGTGGTGTGGAATTATCTTTCAACTAAGCAAAGTTTGCATCTCAATTGGGGCTTACCCTGTAGGTCCTTGGAGTAGAGGATCTCCCACTGAAGTTGATGGCATTTTCTGTGTGCAGAACCTTGTGAGACTGAGCTCTTGAAGGTTGTAATTCTAACTTTGCAAACTCATTTCTGGACTCTGACATTTATGTTATTCATGTTTCTTCAGAACTCTCACTCCAGTTTTCCATATCAAATTTCTAAAACATTAAACATCAATATGAATGAGAGAGAGGTCCTTTTTCTGATGCCCGCATTTAGGAAACTGTAGTTAGGTTATACCAGGAGAGGTATTGTACAATACATGCAGTATCAAGGACGTACTGAAAATGCCCTAATTATTAGAACACTGAAGTTATAATTGTGAGATCACTCTTAACACCATCATTAGACTTTAATGTAACCATGTTCTCATATCATAAAAGTCTCTCTGTGGCACCAATACAAATTGTAGTTGACAGACCAAACTATCCCATCTTACACTGGTGTGAACCATGCTTTTTGCAAAAAGTACCAAACAAAGATGTGACCTAAAACCTGTTCATTCTAGCCAATTTGTTGTCCCATAAAAGGTATCACATGGTAGATTTAGTCTAATTCAAGGATACTATGTATGAGGGAGCTGTTATCCACTGAATTAAAATATACAACCGTGCAATTATGATTTAGAGTTGTATATTGGATAGATGATTTATTGCAAGAAAATATAGTGCTTCCCCTTTTTTTACTTTGCTAGTTTCATTTTTCTCAGGCTTTATGTTTGCCAAGTCATTGTAAATTTTCCCTTCTGTTGAAACTTCAGTGACTATTAAAATATTTGGCATGTATATGCTGTTTACAGAAATCAAATATTGACTTATTTCATTCTTGTTATCTGGTGTCTTTGTACAGTTCCCTGTTATCCTCAGTGATCAAACTGATTACAAATTATAATCCCAAAGAGTTACTTTTTCATACATTGTTTTAACACACGCACACACAATTTAACTATAGCTCTCAGTCAGAAGTGTACTGCTACAATGGTCAAATGTTGCTTGCTTTATGTAAACCATCCCATGAATCCAATAGAACCTTCATATCTTGGCTTCCATTTCTTCCTATGCTACTTTTTCCTTCCTTTCTCTCCTTCACCGACTCCTAAGTCTTTTCCTTTTAGCCCACCTATTAGAATGGCTGCCTAGTTAATATATGTCAAGTCCCTTCCCCTCCTTGAAATCTCTTCTGAAACCTCAGAAAACTTCAGTGAGGCCTACCAGCAGTAGTATGTGCCCACAACTTATTTTTAGTTGTATTGTGCCAATATATCGCTTTAGAAGATTTATCAGCTTTTAGGGGCAGGGATCTGGTTTGATTTGGTTTTGTCATTTTAACAATGTTGCCAACTTATGATATTTGGGATTGGGAGAGGGGGAAGGTGTCAATTTGTGATATTTGGTGGTGGATGATGGCCAAAGGTTAGGGTTAGCTAACCCCAGCTCCTGAAATCATATGATTGCATGAGAATCTCAATGTTAAATGTTTTAAAAATTAGAATCTAACTTTCATGGTTGTGGAAAAAGCTTGACAATATGAACCCTAAGCCTCAGACATCAGAAGACAAACGAAAAGACCCCAAATTTATTAATTTTTAAAATTTCATGAATTTTAAACTAACCTCATGCTTTTTGGGTGATATGACTTAATTTTTGAATGCTTGAGGTTGGCTATATTACTTTCTATTTCATGTATTACATATTTTAAAGTTCTGTGTGGAGTTCTTGTACTATAATAAAAAATCTACTAACTAGTTAGAATTTCTTTTAATTTACACATAAAATCCAAATATAACCTTAATATAACTATTGCCTAGAAACTGACAGCATCAATAATTGCAGTGTAAGGGGAGAATGCACTATCAGGATAAACTAGATACTGTTTCAGGAACTTGAGGTGCTTGCTGGTTCTCAAATGGTGAGCATTTCAACATTTAATCTGCTCTGATCTAATGTATTCAAAGGTTCAGAAGGTGAACAGCCTATATCCACACTGATAGTACTTCTGCAATATTTTGTTAATATGCAATGAAGTGTCAACCACATCTATAGATGCATTAAACAAAAAAGGCACTTGACATCCTGTGATGGGTTCCCTCCGGGGTGCCACCTGGAACTGGCTTACCTCTGACCCACCTGCCTGGGCTCCCGCTCACACTGTGCTGCTGTGACAAGTTGCAAAGCCCTCCAAGCTTGCACTTCCAGCAGCATTCACACAGGTAGGGACACACCCAGCTGCAGTCACATGCAGGCTCTCTCCCCACCAGCCTCCCAGCCTTCTTCCCACTTGCTGGAAAGCTCTTCTGCTGTGACCTGGGTCAAACAGTTCCCATTGTGTAGGGCTATCTCTGAGAGGTTTCTACTGTACACAGTTCCTGGGTAATCCTTATGCTTGTGTGCATTTCCTCAATAAGCCATTAACATTGTTTGGCCTTTTTACTGTTGTACACGAAAGGCTGCTCGTGGGTGTTTTCAGCCTCTCAACATGTTTCAGTAACACATATATAGCCAAACTTCATAACTTCACATATAACGATAGCACATACCCTCCAACAAGATATTAATGTCTAGAAGATCAAACCTTTTAGAATGACACCTCACAAGGCTCACTTTGTACAAAACACATCCTAATTACATGACAGTGGTGAATATTGGGGTGCCAGGGTGTCACACATCCGATTCAGATATACCACTTCCATTGTTGTTAGGCTACAAAGAAAATCACAAAAGATCTACTTGAGCAATATGTACTCAAAGCACCTCTTAGCCATTCACTACATCACCGCCAAATAACTATTTTTTCTTTTAAGTCCCTGAAGTTGTGCTCATTAGCTCCTCTCTACAGTTGCACGTTAGCATGCACCAGCTATGTTGTCACAGCTGACACAAAGTCTGTCTGGAGTCTGGAGCCTGTTCATAAAAATTCAGGTATGTATATTTTTTTTAAATCTGAAAAACATGACTTATTCAGCCCCTATGGAACCAGTTCCAGTCTCCTTTGGAGTTATTTAGCAATAATTCTTAGTATTTATACAACAGTTTTCATCTGTAGATCTCAAATTAATTTACAAATCAGGTTATTCCCCTTTTATAGTTGGGGAAACGGAGGTAGGTATGACTTGTCCACATCACACAGCAGTGACAGAATGAGGAATAGAACCCAAGTCTCATGATAGACACGCTGGTGGTCTGTTCATTGGACTACACTGCTATGATCTCTTACATCAAGGAGAAACAGGAGTCAACAGAATGAAGCTTAGGGGGGCTTGACATATTTAAAAAGTTATTTGTTAAGAATCATTGTGTTGAATGCCCCTTTAACCTGTCATGTTTTGCTGACGTAGATGGATTTCTCGTATTTTATTGCAATTTACCAATAAACAAGAAAATGATCTGAGGATGTAGCAATATGTCTATGGAAAACATGTGAAAAGCACCACAGTCTCAGATGGGCTGAGAAAGTGCAGCTGCTCTTTCAGCTCAAAATTGAACATCTACTACTTGATTTTCCTCACTGAAACCAGTGTAACTTGATTGACATCAGTGGAATTATTCCTGATTTATATGTTTATAAAATAAGTGAGATCAGAATCTGGCTCCTACCCTCATCTTAATATTAAAAAGTGTTTCAGGGACAGAATCAATGGAAATCCAGGGCAAATGGAACCATCAGAATTATATAATAATCTACTTGACATATTCAAATATGAAAATCAGATACACACCCTTCCCCCCATTTAGAAGGGAATTTCTTGACATCAGAATAGACACTGCCTCTAAAAGAGAGAAACCTGATTGGCTTTTGGGGATGTTTTACATCACATATTCTCTGCATTAGACACTATCTCTAGCACTGTGTTGGAACATTTATTCAAGATGTCTTTATCGCTTTCTCTGAACTACTATTATTCCTGCATTTTCACTTTCCCTGAATCCCAACTATCCAAACTTAAATTCTTTTCATAATGCAAGAGCTTATCTCCTCTCCCACATCTGAAAGGAACATGTTTCCTCTCTTCTCAGAAATTTTCCTGTGCCCTCCTCTTAGGGCCAAATTCTTATCCACATGTAAACATATACATAGAAGGAGATGAAAGCTTGATAGTTTTGAATGGAGAAAATATACACTAATCATTACATATAATGTCAAATGGACTTCAGTGGCATTGTGCTGTATGTAAGAGGAGAATTTTCAAGATTTTCTATATAATTGTCCCTGTTCCACTTCTCTGACTTCAGCTTTTACAATTTTATGGCCTATTCCCTGTTGCCCTGGAATGCCAGACTCCTTCCCTTTCCTGGCTACTCCAGAGTGAGTAGCTGATCCTTTTCCTTTTTTTGCCCCGATCATGTATAACAGCTTTCCTGCCTATTTGCAGTTAAATGATTCTATGATTCTCTTCAAATCCCATCTCACAAATGTCACCTGGTCTCCCAGACCTATTGAGTGACCTAATACAGATATTGCGCCAGTTTAGCTAAAATCAATGTAAAAACTAATTTGGTTAAACCAGTGCAAAAGTCCTGTGTGGACACACTTGCATCAGTCTACAGCTGGTTTACAGTGGATTAACTTGCATCAGCCAATCACAAAGGTTTCATATCAGGCTCATTATTTAAATTGAGAGGTTCAGAAAAATAAAATTAAATCATATTAAATAACTCCAAGAATGTGAGTACTGCATACCAATATTTTCATTGATTTTTCTTTATTTCTTTTTGTCTCTTTCCTTTTCTTGGTTCTGTAGTAAGAGCATCCATATCATTGTGTGCGATTGCTGTAATTAAAACTACTGATGCATTTGTATAATGCAGTCTTGACAAAATCTAGCACCCTCAAATCTAGCAAAAAATTATGGATTTGGAAGCACGATTAGTCTGAATGCCTACATGCATCCCTAAAATATGCTTTTACCAATAATTGCTCCGAGTTAGTGTGAGCCACCAAGACCAATTCAGAGCAGATGTAATCAGGTGCAGATCCATTTATCTTAATTGGTAACTACAGTATACGTTGCTATTGGTCCAGCTAAGGATAAATTAATGTTTTATTTACATGTCTCTTTTGGTACAGTCTCTTTGGCATAGTAGAGACATCTGAGCTGATACCTTTAAGCCAGGCCACAACCAGATTGTTGCTACCAGACCCTACGTTTCTTTCTCATGCCATGATGAGGAGTGGTCCCTCTTGTCACAAAGCTTCCTCAGGGTTTGTGAACTTTTGCAGCAACAGATTGGATAGCCCATCTGGCTGCCTCTGACCTTTTTATGGTGTAGCAGGATACAGGCAGGCATTGAACTGGACCAGGTTATGGAGACTTAGCAAGCTGGTACTTTTCTTTCAGGTCTGCCATCTTGTGTTCCAGAAACTAAGCTATGATGCTGGGTTTTTTTTTACAAAATGTAAGTCTCCTTACAAAGACAACCCGATTACAAAGAAAAGGTACAAATTGTGAATTGAGGATAAACCGATATAGTAGTATCTGCCTGAGTCTGCAGACAGCATGAGTCAATAGCTCTGAGGAGGGAAAAATCCTTTAATTAATATCATGTTGACTCCGAAGCTTAATGATCATTTCAATGTAAACATTATTAACTATTTCACTGTTGAACAAAATATTCAAAAAAGAAGAAAGATGACAATCAGATGATGTCACTCCGTGCAGAGCACCCAAGAAAGAAGGAAGATGCTATTAAGAAGATCTGCACAGTTTATTGTGACTGATGTCTAACATTGGCAGGTCAAGTGGGTAGGGCTCAGTTTGTGGATGGAGCTTGAGAGAATACTACTACTTTGTCCCAGATTTGACCCTGGATATAGGACACATGCCACTAGCCACCTGACAGCGTATTGTCTTCTGGCCAACTGAATGCATCTATAATACTGGGAAGGGGGCACTGAGAATTCTAGAGGTTTCCTTTGTACCAGTGCAGAGTAGGCACTGGAAATGGGCTGAGCAGTAGCAGCAGAAATCAGAGTTGAATCTGTGTAGCTGAGACCATCAGGAACCAAGATCCTTCCCTCTTCCTGCAGGAATTGCTTTAGCTGCTCTGTGTCTTTAAGAGGCTGACACTATCCTGCAAATGAGCCATTATAAAGGCAGGTAAGCAGCAGCAATTGGATCAAAGAGCTGAGAGCAAAGCAGAGCACAGCAGCCTGCATAATGACCGGACACCACTGCTGGGGATACGGACAGGATGATGGTATGTTACATCCATCCTTTCCTAACCTAATCACTCTCTCTCTCTCTTTCTCTCCCGATCATCAGCTCCTCAATATCCTTGTCTAATCCTTGCAGAGATGCCTGTATTTCATCATCTGCAGGCATCAAATGTGCAGCAGGCAGTTAACTAGTTTATCAGTATTAAACAACACCGAAAGAAGGGCACCTGGAGATGACAAACTTCACCTGCTGCGGTCCTGTCATAATCAGCAGCACTGCCGTAATCTGTGTGTAAGAAACCTGCATCTTTCTTAAATGGGGGTGGAGGACATTGAGAGTCTTCCCTGCAGATATTTTAGCCATCTCCTCCGCAAAATGATAATAGTAAACTGGGGTTTTATTTCTCCCTCTAAATCAATCATTTGAATGAAGGAGATTTGGTGGAGTGGTAATGGACAGTCTGATCCCACTAAGATGACTAAAATGTGATATTCATGCTATATAGGTTCCTTGAATTCCAAGAAATTATATAGATCAGTATTTAAATATTGGAGGCATTTTTTATTAAACAAGCCATACTATTCTTCCTGGTGTTTAACAGCCCCTTTAATTTAAAGTTATTCTCTTTCTGCGCCTCCCGCTCCTCAAAAAAGTATATGTGTAAAGGAAACTTATGTGGAGACTATGTAGACTCCTGAAAATTTGTACAATATCTATATCATTTGAAGACAATGGATGGATGAATGACTGATGTTACCCCAGTAAAACAAGTTTATACATGATTGAGTTAAAGCTAGAACACTAGTAAAAGATGCATAGCTCCAGCAGATATTATTTGTAAGTGTGTGTGTGTATTTGTATGTATCTATTTTATTCATAAAAAGCTTATGAGGAGGCAGGGCTGCCCAGAGGATTCAGGGGGCCTGGGGCAAAGCAATTTCGGGGGTCCCTTCCATAAAAAAAAGTTGCAATACTATATTCTCATGGGGGCCCCTGTGGGGCCCAGGGTCTGGGGCAAATTGCCCCACTTGCCCCCCCCCCCCCCGGGCAGCCCTGTGAGCGAGGCTCAGTTATATTGTATAAGCTTCAATAGAATTTCAATACCTAATCTCTTTTAAAAACAGCCCCCAGATTGAGAAAAGGAAAATATATAGTTTATAAGCTAGTGCTTCAATGCCTGCCAAAGTCCGACATAGTATGTTACATTACATTTTTTTTTTTTTACCAACATAGGTTGGGGCAAGTGCAGTAGTTTACACCTGTGAGTGATTAACCATTTTTAACAAAAATGAGAATGCTACAATTAAAGTATTTTGGGTTATTTTTAATGTATTAAAAAGTCAACACGATAACTTTCCCAAAACAGGGAGTAGAAGAATTACATTGCTGTGTATTGTAATGAAATACACAAGTGAAACAAAAGTATACCTCTACCCCGATATAATGCAACCCGATATAACATGAATTCGGATATAACGCGGTAAAGCAGCGCTCCGGGGGGGGCGGGGCTGCGCGCTCCGGCGGATCAAAGCAAGTTCGATATAACACGGTTTCACCTATAACGCGGTAAGATTTTTTTGGCTCCTGAGGACAGCGTTATATTGGGGTAGAGGTGTAAAAGGTAGCAATAAATAATTCTTTGATGTAGATATGATCTTGTCATCTTAAACAGCATGAGAGCACTCCTGCTCCTAGAGCAGAAAGCTATGTGATTATACTCGTATTTAATCCCACTCCTTTGGGGTCAGGAAGTCCAAAAATGTTGATAATCATCCTGTACCGCTCACTTGCAGTAGAGAAATAGCATAGTGGCATTATGGAATAATAATGCCTGTTTCTCAAAGATTTACTGCAGTCATGAAATGGGTTTAAAAATAAACACATAGTAGCTGAGACATTCTGAGTCATCTGTATCTAATTTGAATCTCAAGCATTTATCACCAGGAAAGCTAAAATACACAGTGTATGTGTTTAAAATATCAACAGAGAGAGATTCCTCAAGCAAGTCTATTCTGGAATAATCTATTTGTAATTGCATTTAATTTCTACAGGAAGCTGGGGAATAAGCAGAAAGGTCTTGGTGTACCTGTGGCTGTATTATGTTCCCATCATTATGCTTGTCATAAAAGTGCTAAATCGCCCACCAGGCTGCAGGCTGCACTGCTAGTATCTGTAAACACACACAATAAAACGCACAGTGTTTCAGATAACTCCTATGATGTCAAACTTACGTGATTTCCAATGAACGTGGCATCACTCCGAGGCTCATAAAAACTTCTAATGATTCTTTTCTCTCTGTGGCAAAAGTGAAGTAACGGTATTTTCCTTTCCTTTGTCTCAAAGGGCCTTCTGAGTGGTACAAATCATATCCCATTGCCCAGGGACATCGTCAGTCACCTGTTGATATAGTCTCCAGGCAAGCAGTTTATGATCCTAGTCTGAAGCCTCTTATTATCTCATATGAATCGTGTACATCTCTTGAAATCTCCAACAATGGCCACTCAGTCATGGTGGACTTTGAAGATGCTGATGACAAGACAGGTGAGCTTGATGCTGTCTTAGAATTAAGATCTCATAGCTTATATTTCTTCACCTTCTTAGCTAGAGAGATGATAAAATACATTATGTGAAGTAAAATTAAAGGCTAGTGTACAATTTTGCTCTATTTAAATCTTCTGATATGAGACCAGTGGCATTACTTGCCTGGGATATGTGATTTGAGCCACTTTTGTTTTACCATTTTCTTGGGCCTGCCTTCTTTTTTTTTTTTTTTTAATTATCACAATCTGGGCAGAGGTTTGAAAAGTGGAGAGACTGGGTGCTCAGTCTCTGTGCAGAGTGTCACTTAGCAGATCCACATCCTACATGGTAAGGAAGAATTCAATCTGCGGACAGGAAACTCTGCATTTCAATTTGTGGTGGTTCCTCTGAATTGTCCTGAGAGGAAAGGTGGTCACTTCTGCTGAATACAGACCACGTAGCTATCAAGTGCTCTTGATGACCTAGACCTGTCAGCACAGGTGCCTCATTGATTCCTCTTTCCCAGGCTTCTTCAGAAATGATACAGACTCTCTGGCTAGTTCTGCTGAGGAGGCAGACTGTGCATGTTACACAAGCTGCAGCTGCCTTTTATCCTTCATCTTCAGCTCTAGGCAATGTGAGTTTTGGTGCTGTTAAATACTCGATCGGGGTGGCCAAACGTGCAGACCCTTTGAGCCGCATATGACAATCTTCAGAAGTTTAAGAGCCGGGGCACACCTGCCGGGGCTCCGGGCTTCAGCCCCGTGGAAGGTGCCTGACGGGGCTCGGGGCTTCAGCTCTGCTCCTGCTGAAGCCCCGAGACCCTCCTTCCTACTGGGCAGAAGCCCTTACCCGACCACCCTGCTGCAAGGCAAAGGTCCCGAGCTTCCCCCCCAGTCTGGTAGGTGGAGAACGGGGGGGGGACCTGAGGGACTCCATGAGCTACACTTTAACTGTAAAAGAGCCGCATGCTGCTCGCAAGCCACAGTTCGGCCACCCTGTATTAGATTGTTCTCCTTTTGCCTCTATAGAAAATTTTGCTCTGATTCACTTACACACTGATTCTGAGGCACAGAATATCATAAATCTATTAGTAACTGGTAAGTAGAGAGGAGCTTTTATCTAAATGGTCTCTGATGGGCTAGTTTGTTTTATTTTAACTTATGTCAGCAACTAATGGTCATTCATCCAGTTTGGTGCTTTTGCTGATGCCAGTTTATTTTGATATTCAAACTAAATGTTATGGTTGCTGGGAAATGAATGACCTGCAATGGCCTGAGGTACTCTCTATTGCCTTTGAAATATTTCCATAAGGTTGTCAGAGCATTATCAGGTATGGGCTTAAGTTACAGCTACTGGATCTTTTAAAAGAAAAAAACCCAAGGACAAGCAAACAGCTCAGTGAATGATCAATTTGCAAGTATAATTTCTGAGTTTTCAGTAAAGACAATGGATCTGAGCTTGCCTAAAATTAGCTTCTTTAAAGATTCTTTTAAGCATGTGGCCTTAGAAAGTGACTTTGTAAAATGTATCTGGAAAAACTATCTTCACAGATAATTTTAATTCAGTTATAAATAATAGAAATCTGTCCATTTAATAGTGAAATTCACCTAGCTTCAGAGGGTTTGCACTACAGGGTCCTGCATTGCTCCTCAAGGGGAGGGCAGCACCGCAGCATCCATGGTAGGGGCTCTCTGTCCCTGGTGAATTATGGAGAGACTTTCCATCCGCTAGACTGGCATGAAGGGGGCTATTGGAGGAGAGCAAACCTGGAGAGAAGCTACTAGAGCTGCACTTGGATAGTTCCAGTGACAGGGGAAGGCGGGGTTGGACGGGGGGGATGCATTTCATCTACCCTATAAGCCCCCATTTAGGCCCCAATTTAGCAAAACATATAAGAATGTGCTTAACTTTAAGGGGATAGACTTTAGTCCAGTTAACTTCAGTGGGACTTAAACATGTGCTTATGTGCTTTGTGTAGGAAACTAGCCTTTATACCCCAAAGTCCAATTTGAGCCGTGTGGTGGGGTTGTGGACTGCACTCTTAAAAGTTAATATTCCATGTGAAGAGCAGTGAAATAATTCCATAACACGAAAAATTTAGAAGCAAATAAAATGATAAGGACTATGTTGTTAAAAAATACATTATAGACATGGTATGTGCATACTTTACAATACTTTTTAATTAATTACCAGTTTTCAGTTCTGTTTGACAGAAGATGAACTTCTTGGTGTCCTGTCTCTTTAAAGCACAAGAAAATTTTCAACTAGCAATATCACACCTCAGATTAACCTGCTGAAATTTTATTTTCTTCCTATAAATGTAGGCCACCTCGCCTAGGTATTAATGGGCTGCATTTATTAAAAGTATTATTTTAAAATTTAAAATGTTAAAAGTTTGTATTTACCTTGACCAAATCCCATAATCTCTCCTATCTGTCTTCCCCACCTTTGTAAAGTGACTTGAGATCCTCTTATGAAAGGTGCTATGTTAAGTACAAGGTATTTCATTAACTTCCTCTACCAGGATCAGGTATTAATAGAAAACAGAATATAGAGAATTTTTGCTGGAGTGAAAAAGATAATCCTAAAGAGGAAATATGTAGCAAAATGATATATGGCTGTGTAAAACTGCACCTTCTAACTCAACAGATCCACTCCCTGTCTTCCACAAAGTCCCGGTACCTTTACAATTCCAAAAAGTTATTTAAAAACACATCACAAACTGTTTCTAATTCCAATTGGTTTTTTTTAAAATACAAAAACCAGTTCAGCTTTCTGAATTTCAATAGGAAGCATCCATAGCTTGGTTGCTTGGTGGATAGCTACTATGTCCTTACCTCAAATTTACCTTTCCAAAGGCTAAATAGGAATATGGTAAATTTTTATATAAGTAATTGTCAGTAAAAATTTGTTTCTCCTTCTAGTATAAATCTGCTATCTCTGATATCAGCCAGGAAGAAAAACTCTTTACCCTCACTCACCTTCTCCTAAACTTGGATGGAGGAGCTGACATGAGATATTTACTTACACAGATGATATTGTGAGTTTCCAACAGATTTGGTGGCACTGGATCATAGGTCAGATACATCCCTAATGTAACTTCATTGACTTTGATCAGGAATAAATTTTCCCTATGTTATTAATTCTAATAACCTGAGAGCCAAGATAAAGGACTTTCTTTGTATTTTGTTAATTGTGGCTTTGGCTTCTCTTCTGTATACTGTATATCAGAAATATATATATTTTTTCCCTCCTGGCTCTTGAGAGATGCTGTTTCTCCACTATTGACCCAACTAGTTTCTACAGTCAGGCAGTAAAAAAAACCAAATATTTAATCTTTTACATTCTCTTTATGCACTTCCATTTACAGTGATCAATGGGGGGCCCCTTGAAGGTCCCTATAGGCTAAAGCAGTTTCATTTTCATTGGGGAATGAAGCACAGTCAGGGATCAGAGCACACAGTTGACAGCAAATCTTTTCCTTCTGAGGTAAGAACTTTTTCACAACCACTTTACTACAGCCAGGATGCAAACCTGAAACAAAATTTGGAACAGTTTGCATCCAGATCTGAATTTTGCAGGTTGGCCCATCCATCCATTTAACCAAGCAATATATTGCTATCTATATATTCATTAAGTGAAATGCTGTCTACATGCAGTTTCTAGCTGGCCATTTCTCTCTATCCACAATGGGGTTTGGAAGCAACAGCTCTGCACCACACACTTTAAATAAGTAACCAGCATCTCTTGCTTATATTTGCCTGTGCTCTATCTGTCTATTACTGTGTCCATACAGTATGTAGCATGAGGGGGCCCCATTCTTGGTTGGCCCTTTGGCACTACCCTAATAAACGTGGTTTTGGGGGTGGGGCCATAGCTCTGGCAGCCAATAGCAGTTTGCAGATAAGGAAGAAGAGAAGTAGTTCTAGCTGACCCTGGAAGTGCTTTTTTTGGGGTGGTGGGGTGTTCATTGTCTAATCTGCTCAAACGACTGCTGTTTTGGAACTTGGTAAATTCCTAGTTGAGTTGGTTTGTCCCAGAATTTCTGGCAAATCTGCCCTTCAAGCAAAGCTTTATTATGTGATAAACGGACTGATGTTATTGCTTACTAAGCGTAATACAACCTGTGTGAGGGCCTTTATCATTTAGCTTGTTCATACTTCTGTTTTATGATTCCCCTTCACAGCTCCACTTGGTTCATTGGAATGCCAGGAAATATGCAACATTTGGAGAAGCAGCAGCAGCTCCAGATGGCTTGGCGGTAGTTGGTATTTTCTTGGAGGTAAGAGTCATGAAAATAATGGTGTGTGTTTTATGTGTAGAGGCGCATCAAACTGTCAACTGTTTAAGAACTAAGACACATAGTTGAGAAGAACTGTTTGGGGAAAATAAATGACTTTACTGGAAGCAGTGACTCAAGGCAGACTGCAGTTAAACCTACTTCAGTGGGAACATGCCTAAGACAGAAAATGGCCTGTTATATATTCAAAGCATAATTATTAACTATATCATATCTATATTCTCATGCAACTGTATCCATTACACTTGTAGACTGGAGAAGAACATGCCAATATGAACAGACTAACTGATGCCTTGTATATGGTAAAATTTAAAGTAAGTTTTTTGTTTGCTCTTGTATTTATTTTTCTTCCCATCACTTGGATGACTTTTAAACAGTATAAACTTGTGCACAAGCTTGAGTGAAATAAAAACAAATTAAAGCAGCAAATCCCATCTCCCCTCCCCTCCCGAAGTTCACCCATCATTAGTACGTAACGTAATACAAGGGCATATAAAAGTGATAGTTTAAACACACTTAATTCTAATGTATTGTCTCTCACCACTCATGGTTGCCTTGTATCCTAGAATTGTAGGATCTAATGCACAAAACTTCAATATAATACCCTTTTGCTACCAAGGAGTTCAGAATGAATGAACATGTTGTTCCTGCCTCTGTGTGTTTTGAGAAGGGACTATTGAATTCTGATGTTGTGGATATGCGCTTGGCCATAACTCGCTTCCCCACTTTGAAAAGGAAGCGTTTCCCCCTCAGGCATTTCTTATAATTCCTTTTAAAAATGGCAGGACTGCCCTTCAGGATGAGATGCCCTTGTCCTCACTCCTGCTGGATTCTGCGGTGAGCAGAATTTTGCAGACACATTGGCGTTTTTTGGTTGCACGGCTGTGGAGTGTGAGTGAGCAGGTGCTTCCTCCTCCTGATCTCCTTCTCAGTAACAATGCCTGGATCCAGGAGTCCTGTTCTGGACCACTGTAACCCTGAAGGTAGTCGTGTAACCTCTCCTGGCACTGCACTCTGTGCCAGCTCAGTATCCTCTGCCACATGCTTACCTGAGCTGGAAATTACACCTGCAGCTTCAGGATAGACCTACTCTTTGTTCTAGATTTGGGTGTTTGATTGCAGAGGCAATCTTTGCCTAGATTGCCTTGTTGCTCCAGACTCCAAGCAGAGTAGTAAGGCACAAGAAGCACAGGCATTCCACAATTCCGTAGAAGCAAATGCTAGTGATGAAGTGTGCACCGTTAGCAGCTCGTGCTGGGCACTATACAGAGGAGAGATTTTCTGCCTAATTTCCCGATGGGGAAGGGGCATTAATTGCAAGGGGATCTTTTGTTTTACTAGTTCAGTGCTAACACAGGCAGCAGGGACATACATCCCTAAGCCAGCATCTGGGTCTGGGATCACCACAGCTCATGTGATATCACCACAATACTAGATGAGTGCTATTCTCGTGATGATGTTGTTCTTAGACAGAGCCAAATTATCATCCCATTATTCTTGCAATTTTAAGCTATTAGCTGGTGTTTCTGTTTCTCAATAAATATCTATCTCCTTAAACACATTTTTTAAAAAAAGAAATATAATGTGTCTGTTCTTTCCAGGGGACAAAAGCTCAGTTCAGAACCTTCAACCCAAAATGCCTCCTGCCCTCAAGTCTAAATTACTGGACATATCCTGGTTCTCTAACAACACCTCCTCTATATGAGAGTGTAACGTGGATAGTGCTGAAAGAGCCTGTCAGGATTTCTGAGAAACAGGTAAACTTGCAGTCAGCTTGTCCCCAAGTTTTGATACTCCTGACTTCATTTTTTTAGGGTTTAAAATGGGATCTGTGGACAGTGATTGTTTTCTTTGTACAATGGGACTAATTTAAGAAATGGCAAATAGCCTGAGATGTCTAGTCTTGAAGTACGGAATGACGGATTTTGTGGATAAAGTAGAAAGGCAACATTTTGTTTGTTATGCCTCCATAAAGATATAATGGACCAAATTCTGCCTTCATTTATACCCATGCAACCATGTCTTAGTTGAATGCAAGGACCTGCTTGGAATTTCTTTGCTATCTGTCAAATTAACATTCTCTTATCTATTTCACTCTATTTGCCAGGAAAATGACTTAAAAACTTAAGTTCAGATTTTCAAAGGTATTTGGGTTCCTAAATATGCAGATTGGTGTCTAGTGGGCTTTTCAAATGTACCTAGGTGCCCAACTCCCATTGATTTCAATGGCAATTAGGCACCAAGGTACTTTTGAAAATCCTACTAGATACCTATCTGTATCATTAGACACCTTTACAAATCTGGCCCTTAGGCCAAATTCTGTTTTAACAAAAACTAGTGTAACTCAGCATGATTTAGCCTTTGATATTTGTCTGACCAAATGTAAAAGAAATGTTCATATAACATCTTCCCAAATAGTAATTGATATCCTGGGAAGTAGATGCCACATGAGACAGCAGGGGAGATTTGAAACGGAACCTATCTGTAGACATTTTAAAGCACAGACTTATAAAATGGGCTTAATTTTTTTCTGAATTTCCAATGATGATATTTGCACACTTGGTATTATAGAGTGAATAATAAATCATTATTCATAATGTAATATCTCACTCCAAGCCCAGATTTGCCATCTTCAGTGCCCACACATTCCAAACAATCTTGTTTAAAATTGTTGCTTAAATGATCTTTGGTATAGCAAGAAAAATCTTTGGTACTCGCTTTTTTATGTATTTTCAAAACTGCTGTACAAGCATCACTCATTTTACAGATAGGGAAACTGAGACAGAGAGATCAAGTGACTTGCCCAAGATTACATAGGATGTCTGTGGCAGAGCCAGGAATAAAATCCAGATCTCCTGACTTTCCACTCTTTTGTGTTAGCCACAAGAGCAGACCTCCTCCCATTCCAACCATCTTCCAAGAGACAGTCACAACTGCACATTCATCGTGTTTCCAAACATTTTATATTTTAGGTCTCTAACTCTTTTCTTCCTAACTTTAACACCTCCATCAGAATCTCGCTTCATGTAAATCTCCTGTTGATTTTATTGACTAGATGGTTTTGTTCTTTTGTGTGAATTTCTAGTGCATGTGAAAAGTGCCTTATTGTCAGCCCTGGAGACTGAGGTTCTTTATCTACAAAACAGGTAGAGCATAGGCAGCAGCAGTGCAAGTTCCCCTCACTGCCCCGCCAATGTGCTTCACCTTGGAGTGTGAGAGGTTTGTTTAGTCTTCTCCTAGCCCACTTAAACCTTGGCCTCTCTCCTGAGTGTCTCTTACAGGGTTGCCAATTGGTCTTTATTGTGGTGGTGGTGGTGGCGGTTTTGTAGATACAACAAGCCTACCCCTTGCCAAACAACATAACTCATTATTAATTTGATAACCTCTACCCCCAGGTCACTTAGCACTACTGTTTTCCAGATTTCTTCCTCCCATTGGATATCTGAGTTTCCGATAAGTTTTGCATAAATATATTAGTTTGCAGATTTCCAAGCTGAATCTCCTTCTGATGTTTTCTAATATTTCTAGACCCCTGTTTATTATTTTTCCATCTGCACTGCACTACAAACTGAGAATGTTATCCAGGATCTTCTGCATTCCTGAACCATCCAGTCACAGTAGAGGGTATGATCTGGCCCAAAGAAAGGAAAACTTTAGGCTGACTATCAGGAGAATTTCCTGGCAGTGAGACATATTACATTTGAAATATTCTCCCCGATAGGAAGTGATAGAAATACAGTCTCTTGGTGCATTTAAAACTAGACTGAGCAAAACACCATAGGAAATAGTCTGATAATGGTGGGGGTATTGTCTAGATGACCGAACAGGTCTTTTTCATCTCTAACTGGAACTGAAGCTTCAGAAGTGGAAACGTGCACCTTCCATATTAAAGATTCCAAATATAGAAAACAGTGGAACATATTGAAGTGAGCCAGTCATGCATTTCAAACAAATTACTTTTGGAGGTATCTAATATTCAGTCACCGTTGGGGGCCTTCATCTGCCATTAATAGTCTTTCTAGGCTCTTAGCTTGAAAATATTCTATTATCAGATTGAAAAGTATTGAATGCCTTCCTCTTACCTTTTTTCAATGACATTAACACCAATTGCCTTTGCAAGTAGTAAAGTTATTTCATATGAATTTACAGCTGGAGAAATTCCGAACTCTTCTCTTCACCAGCGAGGGAGATGAAAGGATACAGATGGTGAATAATTTTCGCCCCCCTCAACCTCTTAAGGGAAGAATAATTCGTGCTTCCTTCAAGGCCTAAAGAAGAAAATTAATAATGAGCTTCAAACTTCCAAGTGCTTCCATGTCTGAAAGGCCTCACAAGATCACTGATCTTCAGATGACTATCTCATTGAGAAAGTAAAACAGCCATTTCCATGAACACTTTGTGTTGTGGTGCAGAAAAAAGTCAATACCTCTTGGTTTTATGCTTTGCATGGGCCAGATCCATTCTTTTAAAATAATTATTATGGGATCTTGTTCTCTAAAAAAGAGAACATTTTTAAAAATCAGGAATAATTTAGTAATCCAGGGTGTACTCCAGTAGAATAGTGTGGTGATGTTCCATATTATTAACTATAATTTTAAGTTTGTATCTTAAGATTTTAGAATGGGAAATTGCTTGTGCAATGATCTAATAATAGTGATGGACACAACTTCTAATGATTAGAGCTATTGTCCATAATCTAATAAAGAGTGGGATAATATTAATGAGCTCTGACATTGGAAGATCAAAGGCTTAGATCTTCCTGCATATTTCCTGTGGATTCTATTCAGTTTGACCAGCTCCTCTCGTTTAGAAGATACTTTGACTATATTCTAATTAATTGCAGTTGCCTTCTTACATGCAACCAGAGCCTGAAACAGTAGCACGTACTAAAAAATATGTGATTTCTTCCATTCACCTCAAATGGGGTTGACTTTGAAGCCTAATTCACACAATTTTAGTGTTAACATTTTAAAAATAATAATAATTAAAAATAACTCACATTAGTGTTATAAAAGCACTCAGTGCTTCACAAATAACCCATCTCCCTGCACATCATTGTACTTTGTACAAACTTTCACCCAAAGCCAGTAGGCCATGCATAAATATCGGGCCTCAATGCTTAATTCAGTTGAAAGGATGTTCCTTAGGAATAAGGCTACATTCAGATGACTGAGACAGCTGTTACTGTCCTTAAAATAACTAGAGTAAATGCAGTGTTTACAAGTGCTTAATCTTATTCCACTCTCTCAGAGCAATGGGGTGGGGGATTGTGAGAGTTTGCTAGCAGACTTAACCCAGAAGCAGTGAGGGCAGTTGATTTTTGAATAAGCAGGGGCCAGATTGTGATACTCACATTCATGAACAGTACTACCTTACCCCACAAGTAGACCCACTGAAGTCAGCATATCACAATATATTCAATGTAAATATTTTAACTCTTCCTTGTGTTCACAACTAAAATAGGAATAAGGACAAATCACTGAGAAAACAAACAACCCTGCCACTACAGAATTAGTACAGAATACCCCACGGACACCCACTAGGGGTGACCAGACAGCAAGTGTGAAAAATCGGGACGGGGGTGGGGGGTAATAAGCGCCATATAAGACAAAGCCCTACATATCGGGACTGTCCCTATAAAATGGGGACATCTGGTCACCCTACACCCACTTAAAAGTCCTACAGCTGCCTTGTGTCGTGAGTTTGTTTGATCTTACAAAACTAAGTAGGGTTAGCCCTGTCAGTGTTGGGCTGGGAGGATTTCTACCTATATGCTGCATTAAATGGTGCTGGGATCCTGCAGGTGGTGCTGTTCTGTGGGAGTGCCAAATGTGTGAAATAATGGACGAGCTGCCATGCTGCTGGATGTGCTGTCATTTACTATGTCGGGTACAGGTGTAGCGATTGTTGTTATGGCCTGGATGTTAACCCTTCAAATTCTACCTCAACTCAGTGCATGCCTCTGCAGCCTGGTTTCCTTCATTTCTTGCCCTAAACTTTATGATGTTGCTGTGCATAGTTAAGCAGATGCTGTGTTCCTCTTTAAGGGGCCTGAAATAGTTATAACTTAACTGCCTTCATTGGCATTAGTCCTGACTTACACTGGTGTAGCTGATGTGTGAATCGGCCCCTAGGTTTCAGGGGTAAGTTGAGCACTCCTTGTAGTTGTGAGGCTTCAATTCTGGGTAGGGTGACCAGACGTCCTGATAAAATCAGGACCGTCCCGATATTCAGGTGTTTGTCCCGCGTCCTGATATTTCGCTCCGCCAGCAGCACTCGGCTTTTTTTTTCCTCTTGCTCCGCCGGCAGCACTTGGCTTTTTTTTTTTTTGGCTCTGCCTGCGGACACCCCTCCCCCCCATGTGTCCCGATATTTTCTCTCTCTCATCTGGTCATCCTAATTCTGGGTGCTTTCACCTGCTCAGAGGAAAGGTGCCCTCCCAGCTGGGCAGAGTATTAATATGATCAGATTTTCTGCCACTTTGGTGGCAAAATTCGCCAAAGACTTCTTTTGTACTAGCGAATCAACCTGACGTTGATGTTAGTTGTAACTGACATCACCACATTCCAGAAATCCTGAGCCTTATGCAGAATGACACGTGCACGTTGCGTAATTCAGAGGGAAAAGTGGTAAGATTCAACCATTCTGTCTAATCTCTATTTTTCAACCAAGGCTGCCCCCACTTCCCTCCTGCTGTGTAAAAAAAACTGTACCGCATAGGGGAGCAATGAATCTAAAAAAGAGAAGAGCTGGCTCAGATGAGCACGTCTCCTCGGACAGGGAGAGAAGGCATTGTATTGTGATTGAGACAATCCTGGGAGTGAGGAGCGCAGGGTTCTAGACATGGTGCTTCCTGTGCAGCTTGTGCATTAAACTAAAACTCTCCATCCCTCACTTCTCATATCTGTGAAATGGGGATAGTAATACTTACCTACCTCACAGGGGTGTTGTGAGGGTTAATTTAGCAATGTTTAGAAAGTCCTTTGAGATCCTTGGCTGGAAGGTGCTACCAAAATGGAAAATCATTATGAAGTGCAATGGATTGACCATTATGAATGTGATCTGTACAGCCTGTAGTGCAGGGTACTATTGCAGAAGGCAGGAATTCTTTATACAAGATATTCTCAATTTCTTTAACAAATCAAATATATTTTTTTAATAAATGTGTGTGGGGTCTTGCTCTAGGTCTCTTTTGAACAGGTCTAATTCTTGTGCTGCATTAGAAGAACACTCCCCCGCATCCTGCTGTAATTCACTTTTTCTAGGGCTTTCCCCCACTACCATAACTGAGAAATGCTGTGTGTTCTTTTTCTCCTGAACTGTTTTGTATAAGTCTGTACCAGATTTGCCTGAAATCAAGGGAGGCTCCAAACTACTTAATGATTCAAGTTTTCCATAGTCTCAAAGGGACCCTGAAATGTTGCATAGTGAACAGCACAAATACAGATACGATTTATCTCCTCTCAAACATTTGATATAAAAAATTCAGTTTACTTGGGCAGGCTGCTTCTCTGAAACCTGTAATCTAAGAAGCATTTCTAACATATGCCATATTTATTTCACAAAAGCATCTACCCGTCTTCTGCGGCTCAGTGGGTCCACTCTTGTTAAATGGATTAATCTAAATTAAAGCACCTCTTGGCCACCATCTTTCTGTATCTGATGTATTCAGCTCTAGTCTTGGCTAGATCTTTTCTTGCCTTGTGCCAGAGATGAACAGGGATGTCATGAGTGCTATATGTGTCTGTTCAAAAAGTATTGGATAAGTTCATGGAGGTTAAGTCTATCAATGGCTGGCTCTAGGCAACCCTATACCTTGGACTGTTGGAATTGTCCTGTTTTGTGCACTCCCCCATGAAGCTCTGCTGCTAACCACTGTTGGAGACAGGATATTGGGCTAGATCAGTTGGTCTCAAACTTTTTTACTAGCGACCCCTTTCACACAGCAAGCCTATGAGTGCTTGCGACCTCCCATGTAATAACCTCACGACCCCCTGAGGGGTCCTGACCCCCAGTTTGAGAACCCCTAGGCTAGATGGACCATTGGCCTGAACTAGTACGGTACCTCTTATGTTCTTATTTAGCTAAAATTTACCAAACAAACCCTCATTTTAAAATGTAAGGTGTGCATTTAAAAATAAAACATAGATTTGATAGTCTCGAGGTTAATAAAAATCTTATTCTGGTCACGTCTTAGGCAATAATGAAAATATTGTGTTGACCACAAATAGCTTATTGATAAAATAAAAATACCATCATGGAACATCACTTCTTTCTAATTATCAGCAATAAAGCCATTTATATGCCAGGTTACCATTTAAGATTTTCAACGTATTCTCTCATTCTGCACATTTATATGATTGAAGAAATTTAAGGGATCATCTACTCCTCTTATGAACGGAGACCCTCAAGGAAGGCAACATAGTCTAATTAAACCAAGGTTGCCTGTGATCTGTTCCTGATTCTGCCACAGGCATTCTGTGACCTTGATCATGTTACTTAATCTGTCTCTGCCTCAGTTTATTCATCTGTGAGACAGGGATCATATTTACTTCTTGAGGTTATTGTGAGGCTCAGGGCTTAGCTACATGAACACTTATTTCATGGAAAGCTGGAGTGTAAATTTACCCCATGCTAGCCTGTTGTGTACTAAATGTCTGTGTGGACCTGCTGTCATGCACTAAAAGTTCCATGGTGTGCTGCAATCTTTCCCCATTTCAAAGGGGATGAGGGGGTAGATCAAAGTTCACTAGTCAGTCCACATGGACACTTAGTGTGCAGCAGACTAATACATGGTAGATTTACAGCCCAGCTTGCCAAGAACTACGTGTTCATATAGACAAGCCCTTAAATACTGTTTGTAAAGAGCTTTAGGGGCCCAATCCCACAAATTGCTCTGCTTCTGAGAGGTGCTTAGTACCCTCAACTTCCATTCTTTCTGCACTATTCCAGAATAAGAGTGGGGTTAATTGGGAACAGGTAATCGGGAATAACTCCCTGTGTAAACAAGCCCATATTTAGGAGTTGTTTTGCTTTGAGGTTAGAAAGCGTGAACTGTTCTTACGGTGATTAAGTGTAATCTCTTGATAGGAAAGTTACACTATGAATTCCTTAATGTTTTTCTTGATGGAGTCAAAATGCATAAGCACTGGAATTTCCCGTAGAAAAGCATAAGTGTACAATATGGGTCATAGTTATATGCTGTACACACTCCAGAATTTACTTCCCTTTGTAATTATTTTGCATTTATAAAGGGGTGAGTGTGATATTAC